TTAATTTTTTACTTGCGTTCCGAGCTCTAGGTAGCCTCGTCTTGACGCATTGGAAAGGTATCTTCGTCTAGGGACAGAGGGAGCTGGTTAGCGGATAACATGACTAAAAATTCAGTAAGGATAGTATGTTTTCTTAATTTTAGAAAGGCAAGATTGAGATAATGGGGGCGATAGACTAGCGAGAAATTCGACAGCAAGGCAGGATCAAATTTCGAACTTACCGCACTGGGTCAAGGTCAGGTATCTGTTAGTCCTGAGTGCCATTGCCTAGGACGTAATACTGCACCTCAAATTCTGCCTTTCAGACAAAACCTATTGACTTTCAGTGTTGGAAGCCACAAGATCAACCAACAACACATTCATCTGGACACACGATTGACCCGGGCCACACATCATCCTGTGCAAACTGACGTGAACTGTACCGATCTGACCTGTCCTGATACCACTCCCCTATTTGAATGACGCACCTAATGGAACGCTCAAATCTAATAGTTCACTCGCCAACTTGGCGAGATGATATGCCATTTCTCATTTTTATTTAGGCGGAGCTGTGTGCCCAAGTAGTGAGTATACCATCGAAGGAATTCTGGACTTTCGGCTGGCCGTGGCCATATTCGGGGTGACAGGCGAAAACCGATCTTTAACGACCGGCGTAAACAAAGTGTCACAAATAGTGGTGATCGAAGATGTTATGGCGGACGAGGAGTGGCAAAGCTGTCTTGTAACTGTCATCCTTGGAGCCGAGGCTGTAGCAAACACCACTTTGAAGAGAATATCGACCCCGAAGGAAACCTCTGTAGACTTGAATCTTCCTTTCTATGGGAAAGTAAGGTGGGTGAAGAGAGCAAGACGGCAAAAAACTTGCTACCCACTCGGGCGCTGCGCTGGAGGCCCAAGCTAGAGTAAATAGAGATCCCGATAACCCATCCATGGCAAGCTGTCGGTTACTTGCAACCAACGCCTGCAGTATTAGAAATAAGTGAATGGAACTCCTGGCAGCAGCATGTGACCTGAATGCAGCTATAATAGATGTATCGGAAACATGGCTTAAGGACCACGATAGGGTACCAGGTTTAGTTCTAGAATGATTTGCCATCCACAGGCAGGATCGGCCTCCAGCAGGTGGAGTAGTCTAAATCATAGGAAGGACATTGTGCACGTGGTCTGCGAAGTTTCGGTGAACCTGCACAGTGTCCACCTATGTGCTGTAACGCTGCTGATAACGGATAGCAAAGTTACGATAGCGTGTGTCTACCGATGTTCCGGGGCTGAGACCACAGATGACCGGGCATTGATTGATGCACTCGATCTATTAGTCCAAGGATCAGCGAAGATTTATATAGTCGCTGACTTTGACCTACCCGATATATATTGGATAAACACGAAAGCACTCATCCAGCATGTCGCCTTCTGCACGAGGTTTAGAGCTCAAAAGGAGCCAGCCCTACTGGGTATCATCATTTCCAAAGGGGAGCAGGATGTAATATGTCACTGGATATCCACCGATCGGAAAGAGTGATTAACTCCTCATCGGGGCTGATATCCAGAGCCACCCGTACGTAGATTACGGATGCATAGATATTTTGGCAGAATGAACATAATTAGGCTTCGGGAATATACCGCACAAATGCAGTGGGTTCCCGAGCGAGACACCAAAGACAACGAGGAATGCTGGTCGTTGATCAAACATAACCTCCTCGACCTACAGGATCTTTCCGCTCCATTAAGGTATCGGAGGCATAAGGGAAAACCGCCACGGTAGCGAGCCGCAGTAGCCAAGGCCATTAGTTACTGAAACCGAAGCTGGCGAGCCTACCAATTAGCCAGCACTTACAGGTCGTAGGGTTCAATACACCGCTCACAGAAATGCAGTGGTCAACCTAGTGAGGGAGAAAATAAGGTTATTCGAAATGAAGCTGGCCCAGAAAGTATAGCTGGAGCCAAAGTAGTACTACGGGTACGTCCAGTCAAAGGGATCCACCAGAGGAGAGATAGGCCAACTTGTACTTGAGGGAGATAGGGTTATAACTGAAAACCAGAGTAAAGCTCATGCACTCTGCGCTTACTTTAGTAGCGTGCAAAGGTTAGACACCGGTTTTTCAAGTACTTCTCAGCCCTCCGCGACAAACGTAGTGGAAGAACTACGACTAACGGTCGATCAAGAATTGGAGGTACTAGGATGACTTAAGGTGTCCAAAGCGGTAGACCAGAAGGAATTAGCCCAGCGATCATCAAGCCGATTGCTGATATAATTGCGGGATCGATTTTCAGACTTTTTAGGACATTGCTAGCTGAAGGGAGGTTATCGTCTTACTGGAAGACGCCCTCTGCAGTAGCCATACACAGGGGAGACAGATGTTAGGAACTATCGACCCGTTAATTTAACTAGTGTACTATGCAAGGTACTAGAAAAGATAGAACGCGACTAGCGAAGCATCTGGAGCGTAACATACTCATGACAGAGGCACAGCATGGTTTCGTTAAGCACCAATCATGCCCAACAGACCTGTTGTGCTTATTGGAGGATGTTTCTGCAAAAACAGTTGAGGGTAAAACCGTAGAGGTTGGCCAACTGGATTTCAGCAAGGCTTTTGATTCAGTGAATCATCGCCTGCTGTTGACCAAATTAGAACGTTTAGGAATCCAAGGACAGTTGCACGGGTGGATAAGCGCCTTTCTGTCACAACGATCATTCTATGTGACGGTTGGTGAGAAAAGGTCAACACCAGTTTAGCTGACCAGTGGAGTCTCACAAGGATCAGTATTAGGACCACTTCTATTTCTGCTCTACATAGATATTCTTCTGGTGAAAACTTACACTAGGCTTATCACCTCTAATTACTGAACATCTCAGCCCTATCATTATTCGCAATTCTTTTTATCCCACCCACTCCCGTGGCACATGCTGACCAGGCAGGAGTGTTCACCTTTACACCCATTCTAGATCCAGTACACTGGTCAACCTACATAGCTGATCAGTGGAATGAATATTCTTCTGCTGAATACGTTTTTTACATGCCAAATCTGTTTTTATGCAGTAGTGAGAATTCGGATTTATTCAGTTCGCCTTTGTTGTCATTGCATAGTCTGTCTATTGACAATATTAGGTAACTCCTTTATAGATATCAGTTAGTAGTCGTCTACTTGCCTGTCCGGAAATTCTAAGATTAAATTGCACGATAACTTGCATGCTTCCTTCCCTCCCACTCCCTCATCATCTAGGTTAAAACCTAGACTGTTTTGCGCTTCTGTCTTCCTTTCCAGAGATCTGCTGCTGTAAGAAAAAAGGGCGTCTTCCGTTAGATTGGCACGATATCCAGTGGTGAATTTATTCGGAGTATAACTGAAAAACCAGAAGCAAGGTACAATAAAATCTTCCAATGACTGTGCCGCTTTCCCATCATGCACACTCTGAGTGACCCCCACTTCTGTCCATTCCCGTCTAACGATCTGCAGGCTGCCTTCTGTTATTTTACTCACTGATTGTCGTATTTCCAATTATCCCTTNTTGTTTTTCGTCCTACTTTCACCGACTTGTCCTTTTGGAGCATTCCGCCATCTCGAACCTTTTTCTCTGGCACCTCGTCCACTTTGTGTTCCATTTGTAATTATGCTCAATGCGACCTCCAAGGTTTTCCTCTTCGGCTTCTCATATATGGATAATTATGTTGTACATTTGATCATGCCTATGCATGCCTCACGGGTCTCCGTGAAATATACACTTATTATTATTAGTATTATTACATAAACGACTTGCAAGGCACTCTGACATCATCATGGTTCGAATGAAAGAAGTGATCTGGAGCGGGATTAAGAGCAGTTAGCGAGATGGGTAAAGGAATGGGACCTAAGTCTTGACGTTATCAAGAATCATGTGCTCACAGGGGCATTTGACAGATCGGAAGTTCACTTGGAAGAGCACTATTTCGCTATCGAACCCACTGCTAGGGTTGAGGACTTTGGGGTAGGGGTATCGAACAATTTCAGGTGGTCTGATCAGTGTGCAGTAGCGGCGCGCAGGATTAGGGCTGAATTATTTAGACTGCCGTCGGTTCTAACAAGCAGACCACCGGAAGTCTTCATTCCCATTGACAAAGCCATAGTCAGACCACACCTTGAGTATTGTGTACAGGCTTGGGCACCCTTATTCAAGAAGGATGCTGGCTGTTTAGAGAAAGTGCAGAGATTGGCCACCAGAATGGTTGAAGGTTAAAGAGGGAGAACATATGAGGAAAGACTAGAGGCTCTAAGGCTTTTCTCATTAGAACCAAGGAGACTGCGAGGAGACCTGATAGAAACCTTCGAAATCATATGGGGAATACGAGCCGACAGTCTCTTCACATTAGCTTCCCAACACGGCACTAGGGTCATGAGCTCAAGCTCATGAAACAGAGGTGTCGACTAAACATGAGGAAGCATTTTTCAGCAATAGGATAGTCGACAGTTGGAACCGGTTTCCCAAGGAAATAGTATACCTCCAAACAGTGCAGGCCTTTAAGACTGCACTCAATAAGCGATAGATGGAACTATTCACATCTCTGGCATTGCAGGTGAGTGAAGGCACCTCAAATATCTAGGATCACATTTCCCTTCATTCACTGGTGCACGTCATGGAAAGCTCACGTCTAACTCGCCAACTCGGTGAGATGAGATCCTATTTATCATTCTTATTTGAACAGGGCTGGGTGCCCGCGTAGTGAGCATACCATCGAAGGAATTCTGGACGCAAGATTGGCTGGGGCCATATTTAGTCTTGTTCAACCTGACTTGACCTGATTTGGATAGACTTTGTGAACAAATTGTGTAGGTAGGATTTGGTAGAGAACAAATTCTGCTTCAAATGATTTAATCCAGATTATATTGAACTTTCTCATTCATTTTCTAGTTAAATAGCATTTTAATGTTTTGTTTTTTCGCTTGAAGCACCATCTCCTTAACCTTGAAAAATATTTGCTGTATTCGAACACTCCAATCTTTGTTCGCTCTGCTCCTGCGTTGTCATGAGCGTGCAAAACATACACAAAAAATTCAGCGTACAATCAGTGGGTGACGAGGAGTCCAGAGTTGGGCGTCGTTCTATCGTGAAAGAAAATGAGGTAGCTTATGGTGAGTTTACTTGTTCAGAGATCATTTGTTTAAATATGAGCACGAATATTTTGGACTTATTCTTGTCGGATTAATAGTATAGGTTTTTGCCATGAGCAAGGAAAACGACATTCCCATTTTTGGGGTATTGGTATAGATGATGGTTTAGATTACTCATCAATTAGGGTAACCCAGCCGGTGCTAGCTAGTATCAGCCAATAATAATCGATGCCACTTGACAATAATTTAATCGATACAGGAACTGGTTTTTGAAAGATAATTATCACCTTATTTCTCACTAAGGAGGTCCAAGAAATCGGTAATTCAATGAATAGTTTTTTTATCGGGGATCCTTGGATTATATTTTTAAACAATCCCACCAAAAAGGTTCGAAAAGCAAATATAAATCACGATAAAACGTGTTGGTTGTTATCTACAGTATTATTATTTCATCCATAGATTGCTACACGAGTGCATCTTCGAACATAATGCGGTCATACCAGCTTTCACATTACAATATGATAAGACTCATTACTCTTGTAATGGTGCTTGAATAAAATCCTAATTTCACCGATAGTAGTAATAAATGTTTTCTGTCTTCTTACACAAATTGAGCTTTGTTTTCATTTTGAAACGACTACAGGTGTTTCAAAAGCCAATGAACGAGGGTTTATAGAGATTTCCATTGATTGAAATAAATTCGTATTTTGCACTGAGTTTAAACGATCATTTTGCCCGATAGTTTACGCATCTGTCAGTAGTCACCTGGATAAATGTTGTCCATCATAGTCTGGTTCTACATAACTCGACGATATAAGGCACGCCATGCATACTGAAGCATCTTGGTTCCATTTTGTCCGCGTTAGGATTTTCTGAAAGACGAAGGAGTAATGCGATATTTGATGGCAACACTTTAGCCACGCCAATAAAGCGGTTTTCGATTTACCTCTGTGTATCCAAGGTCAAGATATCTACGGGTCTTTTCATGTAACTCGTCAATGTCATTTTTTATCGCATACGGATAACTTCAATTAATGTAGATAGGCTAAGCGATACTAATTATGTTTGCATTCGAGTGTTTTAAATTACTTTTGAAACATTTAAACACAGATTCATTGGATTTACTTTTATCCTCATGATATAATTGCATTAATTGATTTTTGAGTCTGCTTCTGACGTCGTTTGTGCGAACCATAAAATAAACCATTTGCTGCATTGTTGAGAAACTCCACAAACCGTGCTAAGCGATTTAAAACGACGGCAACGCTTGTGATCTTACACTAAGCGAATAAGAAACTACGCAATACCAATATATGTTTCACATATGTATTATTTATCTCAGGTTCCATCTTCGTGGTGCCGTGAACAATCGCATAATATTATCGAGAGACCATCAATTTGTTAATTTAAGTTTTCTTTATCTTGGTTGAGTTAAAGTACGCGTTTTTGATTGCTTTTATCGATGTCCGTGAATTGTTCCAACCTAGTTAATAATGTTTGATTTTATTCTTCATGCTTTCACACTAAATACCTTCAGAAGCAAGGTATTTGAAGTTCATATCTACTTTCTGCGCGGGTTGATAACTGAATCGGTCTCGCACCTTGGTATATGCATGCAGACTCGAATAGTTCGGCTTATCCTTCAACCTGAGTTATCACTTTGTTGCGCCTCATATAAAATGAATTTTAGATTGTTCGAAAAGTATACAATTATAATGTGACGTGGGACTCTATGTGACATGTGATCTTTTAGGTCAAAAATTATTCTTCTTGCTTAGTTTATATCGTGGGTTGTTTTTCGTTAGATCCAGCTTTTTTGGAACCGTCGTTTGTACCAGTTTAACCTTCAGTTTCAGTAGCTCCAGGGGCATCACAGTACGATGCCATAATGATGGGGTAATTGAGCTTGTATCAGTCTAGGTTGTGTAAACCTTTAGATGACCAACTGCCGACCCACAAGACAGTAGAAAAGTGTTCGAAAATAGCTCCAATCAAGTATATCTGGCGTACTTAAACCGCGGTTAACACATCTTGAGTGCCTAATGTAGACTACAACTAAATGTCTATAAACTGGTTTTTACAGTTTAAGAGAGTTTCAGATTCAATTTTACATAATTAGGGCAACTACTAGCTACTCATTAGAGCAGATATAACCCTGAACACTGTATTTTATTCCTCCCACTCTAGTTCAAATACCGTCATCAAGGGGAAGTGGTTAGTGGGACACTTACTGAAACGATGCATTGCGTGTTAGAATTTATTGGGTCAAACTTTTTTTATTATTACTCTGGGGGAAATTGGAACTTTTTGAATGTGCTCAATCAAGAGCTGATGAACAGCAGACAACTTGATTTATTGATAAAGCCGCCTTCCGTGTGCAAAGACCCGTTTTATTTTTCTGGCACGGTTTTCATCTTTGTAGCCGAAATTCCAACGGAGGTGGTACCTGAGGATATTGAGGCAGAAGAGGAAGAGGAAAATGAACTACAATTATTTGATGTAAGTGGAACAGATGTTTTTTAATATGGTGATTTTCAAATGGAATTTGTATTAAAATTACTTAAAAAGTTTATTAGATATCCCTTTTGGCTTGTGTATTTATTGTGTTGCAATGCTTTGATTATAACATGACATATATTAGTTGTCAAAACTGCGAAAGTTAAGCGGAGAACTCGATAAGAGATGATTTAAAGCAATTAGTACTATCAAGGCTCTAAGACTCTGATACTAGGTATGTTGATCAGGCGTTTTTTTCAGTGTTGGTTGGATTTCCTTTTATTTGAGCCTGAATCAGCTTTGTTTACCTGTTATTATGTCTTGACTGCTAAAACCAGCAATCCTTTGTCGTCGTTGACGGCAATACAAAATACATATCACAACCTTTTGGGAACAAACTTGATGGTAAATCTTGAACGTAAGGTTAACCAAAAATAAACGCCATTGGTTGTAACTTGCTTTAGAAATAGGTTTCTACACGAAGCAACTTAAAGCATAGAAATAACCATTTGTGTTTTAATTGATACTCCTAATAAATTTTGGACGAACTTTCAGCTATAAGTGAACTGTATCTAATAAATCAGACATTTCCGGGCCCTTTGCTCATACTATCCCTATTCATATTGGTCAATAACTGCCGTCGAAAATTATCACTTGGTGGTAAGTTGCAAGGTCTTCTCATCGATGTGAGCAGCTGTTTGGGCGTGTTTAGTAAACATTTCAGCCAGTTTAAAATGTAGCCTTGTGGACGGGTACTGTTAGGGAGTCCAACCATTGAGCAGGAGAACGATTGGGGTTATCATTCAGGGCATTTAGTTAGGAAAACCCGACCAGGCAGGCAGGGTGAAGTTCAGACCCATCTACTGGGATCCATCATTGCGACATTATTTCACTGACCGAATCGCCGATTCAACCCTAACTTCCAAAGTGGAGAAGAATAAACCTTGTCCGACCTCTAAGTCCCGGCCTTCCAGACATGAATAGCTCTTTGGCCTAAACATAACAATCCTGTATTGCTCGTTGGGATGGATGTGCAGGTTTATTTCCAAATGCAGCGACATCAGTGAATTATACCGGCTTTGAATCCCACACAAGCTAGAAAAAGCAAAGCAAGGCAAACTTTGCCACTTCATTTATGCTGGTTCTTGAATCTCTTATGTTGAGTAGTTGCGAATATGGAAGAATGTTTGTCGTTTGTCACATCCATGGGATCGCTGAAACATCTTACTGCACAAGGAGACCTTAGCGCAAGATGCAAAATTCTAATCAATTCTGTTATGATATTTCCGTTGTGAGTGAAACTGATAAAACTATCGATGCTTAGAGGTCACCGTCTACAAAGCACGGCAGAAGTCTGGGGAGGAGGGGGGCAACCAATCCGACCTGGAACTTTTGGCAGTCGTGCTCATTTACCGCCTCGGTTGCTGCACATGTGATAGCTGGGGCATGCTCTCCAAAAATCATCAAATAGGTGTTGTTGATGCGCGTTGTTTGCCGAGGTTGGAAAATGAATACAAGGGTCAAACTATAAACTTTTATGAAGAGTTCAGAATCTTTACCAACGAATGTTTTCTGTTGCTTCTGTTAAATTTAACGGTTACAGATGTTGGCTTAGTGTATCTTAGTTTCGGTTACAGTAGATCTGGTGTATTAACTTAATTTTATTATGCACCTATCCTAGTGTGTTCTATATCTTTGCCTTGCTAACACTCGTAGTACTCTCCTAAATCCGGAGCATTGATTTTCGGCCCCGCAGTTGTACAGATGAAAGTGAAGACTAACACTGATAACAATTTATGAGTGCAATGCCACTTCGCACCAAAAGCACTCAACGAAACTGCTTTTCCCTCGCAACAAAATAAGTTCTCACCATATGGTGCTACTAAATCTTGATTTTCAACTTTAAAGCATATCTTCGGGTGGTGTGACCTATTACTGTCCTATATGTAAGTCGTTTAAAAAGAATAAACCTGTTTAAATAACCGATTCATCCGTAAGAGCTTTGCCCACACGCCGACCGAAAAACTCTGTATTTGAAGTTCATTAGATGAGTATACCGTGAAGGTAAGAAGCATTACTTTTCTATGACAAAACAATTACTATTGTGATTTAATAAATTGCATTGCATCCATTCATCTCTTTTAGGATGAGCAAAAATCACTGCCTCCTATGAGCAATTGGTTTAACAAATTGGCCTCATACACAGGTGGCATTGAACCGACTGTTGATGAGACAAAACAACTTCGTGAAAAACAGGTTCAAGCCCAACCTGTAAGTCTCCCCCCCACATCAATTTTCAATACCCCTATGTTGTCAGTCATCCAAGTACTCAGTCCGGAATAAAGATGAATGATTCTGAACTGCTGAAAACTGACTCAATTATTTTGACCTTCCTCACTTTATTGATCAAAAACTGATGGGTTAGAGAGTAATTTGCATTTCCTCTGCGGATCTTGACAATATTAAAATCTGGAAGTGCTTTTGGTAAATCAATGATAGATTAGATATTGGAATAGTCACTATTCAATCAGAGAAGTTTATTGTCAGTTTTAAGATCACCGTTGGTTACAATCACTATTAGTTCCTTCAACCGGGTGTCGGCGATCACGCCCAAGGGTTTTCGTGTGTGAATGGCATCACCGTCAGCTGACGCTTAGCCTTTTTGTATTTCACAATAACTCTTTGATTGACCACTTTCCTTCCACTGAAATCAGACTATACAATCGGATATTCAGTAAAAGCAGTAAGAAGATTATTGTTATAAATAAATCAGGCTAAGTAAAAAGTATGAATGGACACTTTTTCTCTCAGGATTTTTGTGATTGTAAAACCAAAGCTGTCGCCTTATGTTTCTTTTCGATTAAACTTTATATATATATATATATATATATATATATATAGGTAGTCTGTGGGTTTTTTGATGACAGTAAACTGAGTAGTTCATAGGTTTTCTCGTGCAATTTCCAATATGTCCGTTGATCACTTTTGCTTAGGGCGGTTTGATCAGCACTAGGATTAGTTAGAAACAAACTTTGTCAATAATGCGACTAATTGAGTTCCCAGTCACTTTCTCTGCAATTGTATTTCAACAGAAACAAAAGCAAACGATTTCGGTTAATTGTTTTGCACGTAGTATTCTTTTAGTCGGAGAAAATCAATTACAGTGAGTTCTCAGTCTTATTTGAGTACACCGCGTCTAAGTTTGTTTTGTTCACGTTTTTTCCTCTCTGGGTACACGCACAACCTGACACTTGCATGACTTTTGAGCATGAAATACAACAGTTGTTTTTGTGCTTTACACTCGTTACGTATGCTTTGTTTGTTTGCTGATGTGAGTTAGTTCTACACAAATGGTGTTTATTGGTTGTGGAATCAGTATGATTATCACACAA